GACCAGGGGCTGCACCTAGGGATTGCTGCTGCCCTCTGCCAACCGGGAGCAGGCCTAAGCCAGCAGGTCGTTATCTCCCGAGGGGTCCCAGACTGCGAGAGGGCACAGGGGCTGAGGGGCTGCACCTAGGGATTGGGCCTGCCCTCTGCCAACCGGGAGCAGGCCTAAGCCAGCAGGTCGTTATGGGTCCCAGACCCCCCCCCCCCCCCCCCGTGTGCACAAATTTTTGTGCACCGGGCCTCTAGTCCTATCTAATAAAGAGCTAATATGCTAATTAGATGAACAGCGGAACGACCTTCTGGACGAAGGCTTGCAAGGGGCTGCGAGGGTGGAGTCCCTTGTATGAATTTCGTGCATTCGGCCTCTGGTTTGTAATATTAAAAATGTAATATGCTAAATAGACCATACGTCCGGAAGGGGCTGCAGGCCTCTAGTCATTTCCTAATTTAAAAGGCTGACATTTGATAAAAGGATTATTAAACTTTTTTAAAAAAGATTTTGGGGGGATCATAATGAGTATAGTAGGTGGCAAATTTTGGCTTTTAAACATGAATTCGATAAAAATTAATGCTGTTAAAAATAAAGGGGGTTTGTTCTGTGAGGTATTAAGTAGCCTAAAAATTTATGCAAGAATTGACCATTCCTAGTTGTCACAGGAATTTGAATAAAGATCCTTTGTATTGTTTCTTTTCTGCGATTCTAACATAGACTCTTTAGCAATAGTGCCATTATAAAAGTCCTTACATGATAGATTCTAAATGCCTACTAGTAACTTGCTTAATTTAAGCTGTATCCTCTGAAAAGTTACTTGGGCTACATGAAAGTCTCTGTTCCATGATTTTTCTAAAAATATATTTTTATTGATTTCAGAGAGGAAGGGAGAGGGAGATAGAAACATCAATGATGAGATCAACTGCCTCCTTCACGCCCCCTACTGGGGATCGAGCCCGCAACCTGGGCATGTGCCCTTGACTGGAATCTAACCTGGGACCCTTCAGTCCACAGGCCAATGCTCTATCCACTGAGCCAAACCAGCTAGGGCTTATCAGATGCTTTTTTAATGAGAGTATACATTTCTTTTGGGATAGTTTTCAATGTGGTATTGATTTAAAGGGTTTTGGATTTAAATAAATTGTATGCTTTTTTTTTTTTTTTTAACATTGTTGTTTCTCTCCATAGATTTTTGGAGTTCTTAACAACATGGCAGACCTTGACAAGTAAGTAACAGATAGTTTGTTTCTTTTTCAGATACTTGTACTGTGATGTAGTTAACAGCAGTACTAGTTATGTAGTAGGAAATATATGGTAATGACTAATGTTTAGTGTCTATTCTTTATAAAAGTTGCATACCATGTATCCAAGACAAAATGTTGTATATATAATCATTGTCATAAATACAGCAAACCATTTGTCAGTGTTTATTCTTAGGAAAGTGCTGAGCACAATAATGAATCATAAATACTTTCAGAGTCCACTTTATCCTATATATATATTTCCCAAAGATTTTTATGCCGAACATTGTAATGTATCATACATGCAAGATAGAAAGTGTTATAAAATGTCTATGTAGAATTTAAAGGATAATAGGGCACTGTGTGCCAGCTTTTAAAAATAGAACATTACTACTGTTAGAATGTGTGTCCCTTCTCAATTCTATCTTGGCTTTTGTCTAATTTTGTTTCTTTGTTGTTTTTCTTTAGAATTTTACCACCTATAAATTCTTAATGTTTAATTCTGAAAATCTGAATAGTGGTCACACACTTAGATATATAAAGAGAAAGGCAATATTACCACTATTAGTTGAAGGCTTCAAGATAGGAAAATAAAAGGCTATCTGGGTCATATTCTGGCTTTAACTTTACTGAGGCTTTTTTAACTTTTCAAGGGCTTATTTTGGAGAAGTCATTGGGCAAGGCCATGAATCCTACAAACAGGGTTAATAATATAGTGAGGATGGGTATCTTGCAGAAAAATGGGATGTGCTGCAGTATATGCTGCTTGTAATTTTACAGTAGCCTGCCAACTTAGAGGACAGGTTAAAACAATACTTGGGGGTAGGGGTGGCATGATATTATCTACAGCTATTACAGGCAACAGCATGGAGATGGAAAGGACTAATTTTCCCAGGCATGCTGTCTTCAGCATAAAAAGAAGATGGGCAACAGGCATTTTAGTGATCATGGCTTTCAAAGTACTGTTGCCTCAATCACATTCCTCCAATCTGGATTTCTTAGATTAGCTAAGAAATTGTGCATCTATTTCTATCTTACTGAGGTTTCTTTTTGTTTCTCCTCTCTTGGGTTTGCTGTTTGTGATATCCCCTGTTTTCTTTGTTGGTTCTTTAGTTTCGTATCTTGGAAGAGTACAAGGGAACTAAATTATTTTAGATGGCATGAATGAAAATGACATTTCTGCTCTTATGCATGATAGTTTGTGTGTAGAATTCTAACTTAGAAATCGTTTTTCTTAAGAATTTTGAAGGCATTGCTGCTCCATTGTCACCTGGCTTCTAGTCTTGCTGTTTTGAAATTCAGAGTCATAATTCTTGATCATTTATATGTGGCACTTAAAAAAAAAACGCTACACAATGTATCTTTATTCTCGAAGCTACTCTGGTTTCAGAATTCTGAAATTTTATATTATTGGAACTTTTTTTTATCTCGTGTTGTGCATTCACTGGTGGACCTTCAGTACCGGGGAATATTCTTATTTTTATTCTGTTTTCTCTTTCTGGATCTCCTATTATGTTGTGTGTTGGACTGATTCTTCTAATAACCTTTTGTAGTATTTTCCATCTTTGTCTCATTGCTCTTTCTAAGGAAAGCTAAAGAAACTTTATCTTTCAACTCTTGTATTGAGTTTCTAAATTTCTGTTTTTTAGTTTTCACGAGCTCCTTTGTTCTCTGTTCCTGTTTTTATAGCATCTTGTTCTTGTTTTATGGAATGTAATATATTTTCTCTGGATGCTTCCTTCCCTGTGTAGTCATATTTGCTCTTACATTTTTCTTTCCTCTGTTTCGGTCTCAATGTAAGAGGCTTTCCTCAAAAAAGAGGGTAATCATTAAGGTTGGGGTGGGGTGGGTCAGGCAGTTGAAGAACTTTTTTTTAAAAAGTTGACTAGAACATTTGAGTGTTGGGGAAGGGGAAGCTTATTCATTTGGGATTTTAATGGAAGGTCTTCAGTGTGGGCATTTGTTATGAGAATCCCCAGTGACAGAATAGTTTTGTTGTTTTTTTTTCTGGGCTGGTCAGATACACCTCAGTGAAGGATGGGTGTTCTGGGAGTCAAATTGGGAGATGACTGCTAGGAAGGGGTCTCTACATTCACTATTCTAGTGTGCATATGTCATATCTTTGATACTCGTAACTGTCTGTGATCCTTTCGTCCAGCTTCTCAGTTTAACCCTTTCCAGAGAAGAAACTGTCATCTGCTGTAGTGAGGGAGAGGATCTGAGAATTTAACTGCTTATCAGGTTTTGCTCTGTTCTTCCTGTTTTATCCAGATTAAGTGTTCTTTTTCAGATTCTGTGTTTGAGCTGATTCTCAGCTTTCCCTCTGCTTAGATTTCAGTCTTCAGTGAAGTTGCTGCTCCTGAGTCTCCTTGTCTGTCCTTCAGAGTGTGTCTGTTTAAAAACCCTTTATCATAATTTTAGTGGGGATCCTGGAAGGATTGAGATCAGATGAGTATGTGCAATTTGCCATCTTAACTGTCTTTTTTTAATCCATATTTTTATTGATTTCAGAGAGGATGGGAGAAGGAGAGAGAGAAACAATCAGTGATGAATGAGCAAGAATCATTGACTGGCTGCCTCCTGCACACCCACTACTGGGAATTGAACCCACAACCCCGGCATGTGCCCTGACCTGGAATTGAACTCTGACCTAGTTCATAGGTCGATGCTCAACTACTGAGCCACACCCTTCAGGCACTTTCATTTTTTAAATTTTGAGGGGAAAAAAAGTTAATTACCTCTTTTATTATTTAATTTTGGATGCCTGCAAGCCTTTGGAGAAGGAAGGCAAGAGGGGAGTTATTTAAAGCAAAAGTTAGCAAACTCTGTAAAGGACCCGATGTTAAATATTTTAGGCACTTTGGGCCATGTGATCTTTTGTAACTACTTAGCTCTGCTGTTACAGTGTGAAAGCAGCCAAAGACAATACATAAATGAATTAACTGGCTGTATTCCAATAAAACTTTACTTACAAAAATAGGAGTGGGCTGGATTTGGCCATGTCACATAGTTTGTGGACCCCTGTTTACCTTTAAGATTTAGATGTTTAATGAATGGTTGAATGAAATGACACTGAAGGAAGAGCAAGTTTATACTACGTCAGAGATATTCCAGAAATGATTATTTTTGTTTTTGATGAGAAGGAAAATTTTTTTTTTTTTTTGCCCCTTAATTGAAGGGAATATAAATTTTGCTAGCAGAATACAGCTGACTTTTTCTGTACTTGTCCCCATATGAAAATTAGACAGTATTTGTCCATATATGAAAAATTTTCAAATGCTTTTCTAAACATGTAAAGCAACTAAATCACTAAACCAAATAAATAGTAAAATGTAAAATCTCTATATATTGACTTAGATATTCTTATTTCCCTTTTTCATGCTAATTATAATCTCATCTTCAGAAACTAGACTTTTAAGATGAAATGGGAAGAATGTTATCTTACTAATTTTTACCTTCTCTTCCAATGCTGCCATCCTCCTGGCTTTGCTCTAAGCATAAAGTAGTCTCAGCCTTTTTAAATGTTTACTGTTTTTCCCCATCTTCACTGTGAAGTAAAGAAAAAGGATGAAAGTCCACAAAGATAATGAGTACAGACTGCTTTGGTTATTCCACAGCCATCAGGGATCCAGAATTCTTCTATTTTTCGAAACTCCTTCATCCTTAGCTGCTGACTTCCATTCTCTAGGTTGCCTCATGGTCCAGTGTGGCTTCCCAGGCTCTAGTCATCACATCCATATTCTAGGGAGGAAGAAATGTAAAAACATAAAAGGGGGCCTCTTAGCTGTTTATCATCCTATAAAGGAAGGTTTCTCAAAGTTCTATATTACTACATTTTTTCTCACTGCTAAAATCTAGTTATGTAGCCACAAGCTAGCTAAAAGGTAGGCTGGGAAATGTAGATTTTTCTAGCTTTGTGAATTGCCATCTCATATAAAATTAGGGTGCTGTTACTAAGAAAAATCAATAAATATTGGGTAGGAAACATACTTTCTGACATCACATTCTCTAAACCAAAACCTGTTAAACCATATTTTTAAAGGTTGAAGTATAAACTTTATATTTGACCACATGCTTTTAAATGAAATTTAAAAATATTTGTACTTGTTTACATATGAAGTTAGAAAGAAAACAGAATTCCCTTTTAGATTTTCTATTTCATATTTTTGAAAGAGGCATATTAACCTAGGAAATGAATTGAAGTTTTTCTACATATTTTATATTTTTGGTAATTTGGTACATTTGAACCTTGGTGTGATACTATGATATTGTAGCAAAGAACAGTCTGAACTTGATCAAGATTTGGATGATGTTGAAGAAATAGAAGAAGAAGAAACTGGTGAAGAAACAAAAATTAAAGGTATTATTTTACATTTTTTTCAGGCTCTAGTGATTACTGGCACATGTCTTTTAGAGCAGTGGTCGCCAACCTTTCGGACCTCGCGGACCACTGGTTGGCGACTGCTGTTCTAGAAGGTAGTTCTCTTTTTGATCCTTATCCACCAGCCCGTACCTCAGTTTAGTAACAGTTTGTGTATGTGTGTTTGATGTTGGGGGAGGGAAGAAAGAAAGGAGGGCCAGGAAGATGGGGGTGAAATGATGGTAAGGGAGGAAGGTGTGAGTATAGTGACCCCTCAGAAGTCACTGTGTGTGTACCCTCTACTGCTAGAGTGACATGGCATAGTTGGGTCAAACAGCTTAGCTACCCATGAGTTTTGTCTGAATTTAGAAATGTTAGAGATGGTGGGAGTTGTTTTTGGTGGTGCTTCTAAACAAATACCATTAGTTTAAATTTACTTGAAAATGTTTCGTATTTAATATGTAGACAATATATAGTGTGTGTGCATGCCCTTTTTAATCCAACCAAAAAAGAGACATTAAAATTAGTGATGGTAGTGTGGAATTATACTGCTTTAGGTTTTGTCCTATAGATAGCCAAGAATACTAAGGTAACAGATGAATCAACTTTTCATTTTTAAGCAGGAATGAGGTTAATTGTTAAGATTAGTGAACTTAGTTTTAGCTTTCATCATGCAACATTTTCTTAAAAGATAACAGACCATGTGTCCTTAGTGGCCAGTATTGATATTCTAAAGATATGGGTTATCACAACTATACATCTAATCAAATTAATACTAGCAGTCATTTGAAAACATAATTTGAAAAATTAAATGGAAATTTTGGATAGTGTCTGTTGAAGAAGATAGCAAACTAATTTTTGCATATATCTAGCTACATTTGGGTTAAGTATAATTTCGAGACATGCTGATAACCAAATTTTGTTTGGTTTTAGTTACAACCTTTGACTTAACTGTTAACTTTCTCTATTAAGACATATGCAGGCACATTATACAAACAAACATCAAGTAAACTGGGTTACTCATTGTACTTTTTCCCAGGCTCCAAACTGTTACTGTATTTGCAGTTTTCTGATAATGTGTTGTCTGCCTTCAAAGAATTATCGAGTCATAGATAGGCATCTGGATGAAGCTTTGAGCATCCCAAAATGCAAGATGGCTGAAACACAAGATGGTAGTAAGAGAAGGAATACTGTTGATAGAAGTTGTGTAAATGGTCCTGAGACATGGCACACACTAGAGATCATTAGGAATCTGAACATTAGGTTTTCCTAGAGTGAATTTTCTTTAGCTTGCTGCTCATCTCTACTCATACCAGCTAGTCAGGAAACCTCATGATTGGATTGTCCTATTAAAATAGCATAATACGTTTTCATAAATCCTTCTTTCGATGCCCCCTCCCCCTTTTTTTTAAGCACGTCAGCTTACTGTTCAGATGATGCAAAATCCTCAGATTCTTGCAGCCCTCCAAGAAAGACTTGATGGTCTGGTAGAAACACCAACAGGATACATTGAAAGGTACAAGTTCTTTTTCATAGTTCTTATTTCTCTTTCTATAATCAACATTGCAGGTGTATCTATTTTTAAGGCCATCTGGGACTTATGTACATAATAGTGGAAAACTCATGTTTGTTAATATCTAGGTTTTGCTAAGTACCACCAGTTTAGAGTTGGTCTTTTTAAAGTTTAATTTCATCTCCACAGGAAGTATACTGATCTTAATCATTTCTGAGATTTGTTTAGAGGTTTTATTAGAAATGCACAGAATTAGAAGAAATAATAGATTCTTATTTAATTTGTTGGCAATATAAATCATTAGTAATAGCCCAAATATTCTATTCTGCTTGCAATTTTTTATATGGCTTTATGATTTTAAGATCCATCCATATGTATCTATAGAAGCTTCTAGCCTCTAAATGGTTCCCGGATCTCCGTGATGTTTGTCCACCATGTTTTTTATTACATGCGTTTTCTTTGATGGATGACTAGATTGACTCCAAGCTCCATCAACACAAAGTCCATTGTAATGGTCATTGTACATTTCCTCTTAAGGAACTATGTAAGAATTTTTTTGTGATATGTACTTATCAGTGGGATTGCTAGTTCTGGGCTTTGCAAGCCTTAGGTACTTCCAGCTTGCTTTCTAGGATGACTGTATCCAATATAATGAAGGTTGCTTTATCTTTGTGTCCTTTCCAACATTTGGCATCATTCAGCTTTATAGTTTTTTTACTTTTACCAATTGAAGAGGTACAGGCTTATTTTATTTAGATTTCCTGATTTCTGATGAGTTTTTCTCATAATTGTGAGGCTTTTAGGTTGCTCATTTGTATCCTTTGCCCTTTTTCCTACTTGGGCTTACTGTCTTTTCCTTGTTTTGCAGGATTTCCTATGTATTCTAGATATTAATCCCTTATCAGTCATTTTTACACATAACACCCTCTAATGAACAAAAATTATTACTTTTTATGTTTATTCAGTTTTTACCTATGATTTGTTCTTTTGAAGTTAAGTCTTTTCTAGTTTCTTCTCTATTTCCTATTGACTAGTTTTACCGTTAGGTTTTCAATTCCTCTAGGGTACATCTTTGTATTTAATGTGAATAGGCATTCACTTTTTTTCTCTTTTTTAGTGTTCTAGCACATTTATTGCATATCACTTTTTTATAAACACATGTGTTTGTCTTTGAGCAGGACTCTGCTGTTTCATTGATCTTTTTTCCCCTCTTGTTTTGTCATTGTCACACTTAATTACCATGGCTTTATAGTATGTTTTAATATCTGGCAGGATGAGTTGCTTTCTTCTGCCACCCCTCACCTCACACAAGCTCCCTACTCCCATTCCCATCATGGTTTGACCTACCTGTGCACCTTTATTGTACATATATGATTGACAGTAAGTTTATTAGGGTTCTTTCAAAAAACAAACAACTAAAATTTTGTTTTGCTTTGTTAATCCTCACTTAAGGATATTTTTCCATTGATTTTTAGAGAGTGGAAGGAGGGGGAGAGGGAGAGATAGAGAAACATCGATATGAGAAGGGCACATTGATTGGCTGCCTCCCACTTGCGCCCGACCATGGCCAGGGATTGAGCCTGCAACCGAGGTACATGCCCTTGACCAAAATAAACCTGGGACCCTTCAGTCTGCGGGCTGATGTTCTATCCACTGAGCCAAACCAGCTAGGCCCAAACTAAAATTTTTGATAGCTATTGCATTGAATAAATAAATATATTAGCATGGTAGGGAGTTATGTCATTTTTCATATTAAATTGTTTCATCCATATTTTTATATCTATTCAGATCAGACTCTGTGTCCTTATTACAGCTTTTCTATGTAGTCTGTTCTTGGTTAATTCCTATATACCTTAGTTGTGTTGCTGTTGTGAATAGTATCTTAATTTTCTAATGTATTTTATGACTGGCTGTTCTTGATGTAGAGAAGGAGGGCTCTTGGTTTTTTTAAAGTTGATTTTATATTGGAAATCTTGGTACACTTACTGTAGTAATTTATTCTATATTTTCTCCCACGGGTGAAAGATCTTACCTGCAAATACTGGCAGTTTTAGCTCTAATCTTCCATGTTACACTATACCACGTGTTTGTTTTTCTTTCTTTATAACACTGGCCAATATTATGGTGAGCATCAGTGTTAAAAATGGGCATCTTTGTCTTATTTCTAACCTTAACCAGGAATGAATATAAAATCTCCATTTAAATTTGTGTCTATGATTTTTATGACCATTTTTTTCTATAAGTTTAGGTGGTCTTTTGACTTTTTATTTGAATTGTTAAGTACATATTAAATATATATTTTGAAATACATAGTTTGCTGTATTGTTACATCATTGAGTTAGGTAGTTAATACTTTTATTCAGGATCCTTATTCGTTAGTGAAATGAATATATGCATGTATGTATGTACAATAAAAAAACTTTCAAGAGTGGTAATTCTATCCCTTGGTTTTAGAGCCTAATGAAATGAACATGACTGCTTTTACTTTTTTTTCTGTTTCCTGTAGTGACTTGTATAAGATAGAAATTAACTGTTTCTTGAACCGTTGGTAAAACTCTTAAAAAATTGACTTGGATCTTTGGGATTTGGGAAGTAGAGGTTCTGGGGAATTTTTTCTTATTTTTTTAATCTAATTGATCTCTTCAAGTTCTCATGCCAACTTCAAAATTTATATTCTCCTAAAAAGTGGATGCATTTTACCAAGTTTAAAATTGATTAATATATAATTCATGATATTTTTTAAAATCTGTTATTATTTTCCCTTTGTATTTTATATTTTGCATCTTCAGTTTTGCTAGTTGCCTCACTCTTACTTGGTTTTTAGAACCAACTTTTGATTTTTTATTTCCGTATGTATATTTGTTAATTGCTGCTCTTTCTGTGGCTTTAATGTTATTTCCTTCTTATTTCTAATTTTCTAATTTCTGTTTACAATTTTTTAATTGAATGCTTATTAGTTCATTTAATTTTTTAAAGAGATTAATTTCTCTCTTTGACCTTAATATTCTGTTTTTGTAAATGTTCTGTGAATGTTAAATATGAAGATCTATATGCTTAAATTAATAGCCCAAGCTTACTCATTGTGTTGTTTGGGTTCTTCTTACTTCTCATTATTGTCTGCTTGATCTAACGATGTCTGGGAAGGATGTGTTTAAAATATTAATTTATCTGTTCTCACTATAAATCCATCAGTTGTGAATTGTGTTGTAATTCTGTTTGTCTGAGACTAAGATAGCTTTCTTTTGGGTTTTATTTACCTGGCATGTCTTTTTCCATCCTTGTATCTTACTCTAATGTGAATATTTGCTTCTTTATTAGTAATTTCAACTCTTTACATTTCTTAAAAGTGGTAATATTTTTGGACTCAATTGCTACCATATTTTCCTTATTTTTAAATTTATTGTTTGGTTTGTCTTCTGTTTTCCATTGAATAGAACAAGTTGACTTCTGGTTTCAAAGTTAAGTGCATTCTTTTTTTTGTTCTTATAGGAGAGTGGCTCATAACCCAATACCTAATTTTATTTATTCCTATTGATTTTTTAAATTCACCAATATCTATATTGCTTATAAATAATTTCTCTAGTCCTCTATTTCTTTCCTTTAAGGCAACAGTAAAATTTCTCAAGGTATTCGACCACCCTTACCTTATCTATGGCCTCTTGTGGATATTTTTTAAACTTACAAATTATTTTTTAAAGTTCTCAATTATCTTAAAATTTCACTTTATTCTTGTATATATACAGTATTTTCTTTTGAAGCCTTATGTCAGTGTGATTTCTTTTGTAGGTTATTTGCTTTCTTTATTAAACTCTTAGAATTTTCTTTTGTCCTTGATATTCCTAAATCTCATTAACATGTCTGGGGTTAGGGTAAAGATTTTCATATTGCTTTTTAACTTTGAGAAATTCTCTCTTTTTTTAGATATTCACCTCCCTATTGTTAAAGTTGTCATTCATATCTCATTGTTTTTCTGTCTCTCCTATCTGGAGAGCTTTTCAACCTCAGACTTTCTTCAGTTGAACCTGTCTTGTTTATCCTATTTGTTGGTCATTTTAGTTACTGCATTTATCATAATAATCCTGTTTCAGATTTCTTGGTCTTGTCTCATACTGCTACTATCTTCCCTCTTCTTTAAGTATATATATTCTATTGAAATTCTTAGTCTAATAATTCTGCTTCGGGTGATAAGTATTTCATTCATTCTGTACTCAAGTGTCTAGGTATTTTGGCCTTAGAGCTTGGGGATTATGATAAGTATTGAGGGAGGAATGAAGATCAGACTCTGGTTTGTGACAATCCTGTGGAGTTTAAGGAGAAGGGGATGGGATGAGCCTAAGGAGAGTTTCAGTCACTTCGGATTTAAAGTTTGCTGACAATTCTGGGCAATATTTTGGCTGCTTTGGGAGGAGGCAGTCTCCTGATTGTAATCCATTGTATCTGGATTGGAGGAAGTGAAGTCAGTGCTTGTGGGTTTTGAGTCAGTCCAGTTTTCATCAAATTCTTGCTATTCTAGAAACACTGGCACTGGGCTCTGAAGGGTGAAGGGGACAGCAGTGAGTGTTGAAAGGCAAGCGCAGAACTTAAAGGCTACCCACTCTGGTCATCCTAGGATGTTTTTCCCAGGTGGTAGGTCAACCCCATACCAGTTAAACACAGACTTCCATCTTGGAAGTTGCTTGTGTATGTGAATGTATGGTATATGTACATGCACACGTGCACATCGGAGTGGGAGTAGGGGTCAGCAGCCCAATGACAGAACATTAAGCTTTTTGTTTGTAAGAAATAAAGTTGATAATGTTTTGGTATTTGTTTTTTTACTTGATTATCTTTTTTTAAAATATATTTTTATTGATTTCAGAGAGGAAGAGAGAGGGAAAGAGAGATAGAAACATCAATGATAAGATAGCATCATTGATCAGTGGCCTCCTGCACTCTCCCAACTGGGGATTGAGCCTGCAACCCAGGCATGTGCCCTTGACAGGAACTGAATCCGGGACTCTTCAGACCGAGGGCCAACGCTCTATCCACTGAGCCAAACCGGCCAGGGCTTTACTTGATTATCTTAACTAAAGTGATTAAGTAAGATATTACTTGATTTACAACAATCTGTCTATGGCAGGAAATTCTAATCTGGATTCTGGATTTGTTGCACAGATTTACTGAAGTTGGGTAAATTTTGAATGTTAGCATATTTTGGGGAGGTAGAGGGGTTCATACATGTAAGCATTCTTTGAGGTGCGCATTCTTTGAGGGGCACATTCTTTGAGGGGCTCATAGACTAGGTATGTATAACCTTTTAAAAATCTATGTGCCATAGTAAATTGTATAATATATGAATTATATCTCAATAAAGTTGTTAGTTAAAAAAGAACACGTCCCCTCGTCATAAAATATTATAGTCTTATTTAATATAATTTCAAATTCCAAATTAAATAGAGACTACAATAGAAAATAATGGTGTAGGGTACTGTCCTATTTCCCAGTATATATATGCTCCCTTCCTTTCCCCTAATACTAACTTATACAGGTGAGATATTATTTTGTCTGTTTGTTTGTTTTAAGATAGTTCAGTTATCATTTAGTATTATCATTCCACTAGAGGCCTGTTGCACGAAGATTCGCGCAATAGACCTTCCCCTGGCTGCCGGCACTGGTTTTCCTCTGGCACCTGGGACCCAGGCCTTTGGTCCGGCCGCAGAGGAGAAGCCAAGCCTCAAGGCTAGGCTTCTCCACTCCGGCCGCCATCTTCGTTGGGTTAATTTGCATGCTCATCCTGATTGGCTGGTGGGTATAGCGGAGTGATGACCAATTTACATATTTCTCTTTTATTAGTGTAGGTAGCTTTTTTTTTTTATATAATAATCCTCACCTGAGGATATTTTTCCATTGACTATTTTAGAGAGGGGGAAAGACAGAGAGAAAAATCAGTGTGACATAAACACATCGATTGGTTGCCTCCTGCACAAGCCCCTGACCAGGGCCTGGACCAGGGAGGAGCCTGCACTGAGGTACATGCCCTTGACCAGAATCAAACCTGGGACTCTTCAGTCTGCAGGCCAATGCTCTATCCACTGAGCCAAACTGACTAGGGCCATGACTTTTTAACTTTAGAAGATAAGACTGTATTTTACAGCTGAGATGCCAGTGCATAAGTGCAAAGTTGAACTTGAATACAATGAAAGGTTTGGGTTGATAATATGATTTACATTTTCCTATCAGTTTAATGTATCCGGCTAAATATCTACTTTTGAACTTTTATAGTACAGAGGCCCATGCATTTATACCTCTTAAAGATTATTTTGAGTTAGTATATCTTCGCTTCAAGTAGGAAACCTATTATGCTTCAATTTCAGAATGATAAAAGAAGTGTAACTTGTGTCTTACTGGCATGCTATGTAATCGATGCTTTCTAATCTTTCAGCTTGCCTAAGGTAGTTAAAAGACGAGTGAATGCTCTCAAAAACCTTCAAGTTAAATGTGCACAGATAGAAGCCAAGTTCTATGAGGAAGTTCATGATCTTGAAAGAAAGTATGCTGTTCTCTATCAACCTTTATTTGATAAGGTAATGCTTTGTATTACTTTGTTTTAGATATGTAAAATTTGAGAAGGTAATAAAGCTCCAGAAGCAAAACTTTTTTTTTAAGATTTCTTATTGATTTTTGGAGAGGAAGGAAGAGAGAGAGAAAGAGGAACATCAGTGTAAGAGCAAAACATCAATTGGGTGCCTTCTGCACACCCCCTTGGGATCGAGCCCACAACTTGGTCATGTGCCCTGACGGGGAATGAGGACAATGCCCAACCCACTGAGACATTGGCCAGGGCCAGAAATAAACTTTCTTTAGACCTCTCAGCAAAAATGGTTACTAGATGTATTTGGGAAAACTATCAGTAATAGCAATTCAAATTATGGTATGCATTAATTAAAACCTATGGGTTCCTAATGAGAAACAGATAGTTTTTAGCTTGGATATCATGTAAGCTTTTTTTTCTTCAATCATTTTAGCGATTTGAGATCATTAATGCAATTTATGAACCTACGGAAGAAGAATGTGAATGGAAACCAGATGAGGAAGATGACATTTCGGTTGGTACCAACTTTAATTGGGGGGGTTTTATACTTTGGGAGTGAAAGCATTTCCTTCGAACTTCATGATGACATACAAAGGATTGTTCCCTTTTTTTCAAGTGAGGAAATGGAGGCTTCTAGGTGACTTGCCCACAACTAATAATGGCAGAGCTGAGACACAAATCCAATGATCTGTTAAATGACCCTGTTTCTCCAGAATTGCTATTTTAATGTTGGTTGCTTAAGAGAATATAATCTATATTATAAAAACCCAGTGGCCCTAATGCCATAATGACCAAAGACTGGTCACCAGGAGACTGCGTGAATGCCGAGGCATGTGCGGGTGGGTGGGGCTGCCTACGCAGTGAGGTGCCCGTGGTTGGGCAGAGACTTGACTCTGAGTCTCGCAGCACTGCGGGACTCGGCGGGGTCTGGGGTCCCGGGTCTCCCGCGATTTCACACGCTGGGTCACTAGTATTTTTATAAGAAAACATCAAGGAATAAAGCATTGGACAAGGTTTATATTTCTTTTGCTTTTCCTGTTTACTATGCTTAAAAGTAATTATTTTTCATGACTTTAAAAAATTATTTTCCTAAAACTTTTTTCTACACCTCATGGTCCTGTAAACTGTGACCTACTAAACTGTTCTCTTCGGGAGCAGTATGGTTGTAGCAGTATTTATAAAAGTAAGGTTTGGTATGGGTAACAGCAGTGTTTACACAATTGGACTAGAACTGTTGGGGCTGAAAGTTATAATTAGTGATTGAGGGTTTGTTGGTTTCTATACTTACATTTAATTTGAGGGGATGTCTACGATTTTATCAAGAGGTTTAATTTAGGTTTTCAGTAATGTATGCTGTTATTTATCAAGGAGGAGCTGAAAGAAAAGGTCAAAATTGAAGATGAGAAAAAGGATGAAGAAAAACAAGACCCCAAGGGAATTCCTGAATTTTGGTTGACTGTTTTTAAGAATGTTGACTTGCTCAGTGATATGGTTCAGGTAATAATACTCATAAAAATATCAGGTTACCTCAGAGAGTGTAAACCTTTGAAATTTAAATGTTTGATGACTAGTCTCTCCATAGTTGACATTTGTAGAATGGTTGCTTTCTTTTGAAACAGCTGTTGTCTGTAGAGGGGAAATTGCAGCTTTTTTTTTTTTAATGTAACCAAATAAATTATGATTCATTTTTAAAAAATAGATAATGAAATAGTCCCTTTAATAATTGGTCATTATTGTCTGGTGCTTTCTCAGACAATAGTTTTGTGCCTCTGTCTCAGATGTTTAGTGTGGAGGTAGGATGTGAGAGACTTAACCATTTCAATTGTCTTACCCAAAAGACCTTTTCAGTCTGAAACAGCTATTCCAAAGTACATTTGTATTTTATAAGAATGCTGTAAAAATATTTTTATTGATTTTAGAGAGGAAGGGAGAGGGGGAAACAGATAGAAACATCAATGATGAGACAGAATCATTGATCAGCTGCTTCCTACATGCCACATACTACGGATAGAGCCTGCAATCCTGACTGGGAATTGAACTTTGACCTCTTGGTTCATAGGTTGATGCTGAACCACTGAGCCACACCAGCCGGGCTATCTTTAACTCTTTTACAGTTGTCACTTTTTCTGGGAAACATTGTCTTATAATCAGAAGCATTTCTTGAGCCACTGCCATCTGCACTTTAGTACTTGTTTCCTGATATTTTGATTGTTGGAAGTTAGTATCAAGAAAAACAAATGGTCTCAAAACAATGACTCCTTAATAGAAATTCTACTTTAACCAAGTAGGAAAACATCAAGCAGAAAGAAGGAAAGGAACAAGAGTAGCTAAGAGCAGCAGTTACAATCAATCAGGAAACATTTAAAAGCAAACATGCCTATTTTAGACTTGGTTTTGTGCTCTTCAGCCCATTCAGTCTGGATAATGATGTAGTCATCGCTACATAAAACTCAACTTGAAAATGTCAGTCATTTCAGTGTTCATTGTCCAGTAGGAGAACACTCGTCCTAAAATGCCACATTACTTACTCATTTTTTTTTCTTTTAATTTGAAGGAACATGATGAACCTATTCTGAAGCACTTGAAAGATATTAAAGTGAAGTTCTCAGATGCTGGCCAGCCTATGGTAAAAACTTTGAAATACTTTCAATTTTTGTAACAGATGTTTACACATAAATAAGTGGAACTTTCTAAAAAGAGGTGTGACATTTAAGGGTTAGAGATGGGGATGAGATATTAAAAGTGATACTTGGTATACTTAATTATTGGTAGGAAATGTTTAGATGTTAATAATGTGATGCAACATTTCCTCCCTCTTTATTTTATATATTTTATTGATTTTTTACAGAGAGGGATGGAGAGTTAGAAACATCAATGAGAGAGAAACATTGATCGGTTGCCTCCTGCACACTCCCCACTGGGAACGTGCCGGCAACCAAGGCACATGTCCTTGACTGGAATCAAACCTGGGACCCTTTAGTTCGCAGGCTGATGCTCTATCCACTGAGCCAAACCAGTTAGGGCAACATTTCCTCCCTCTTAACTATTTTCAAAATATAGTTTATCATTGTTTCTGGATTTAAAGTGTATTAAAAAAATAATACCAAGGAAACATGAATAAAAAAGTACTTATTTTGTATTAAAAGGCATGTGTCTGGGACTTACATAAAATAGAAGATACTAGAGGGGGGGGGGGCCCTAATTTCCCATTATGAGAGCTCAACCAACAGCTTTTTCCCAAAACCATCAGTAGTATAATGTAAAGTATGGGCAAAGCTACTAAAGGTTATAGATTCTTATATTGGTATGTAATAAGGTTGGGCCTTTTCTCTGTCCAGCTTAGGTTCTAGTCGAAGATTTAAAATTTCTTTTTGTGGGGATGGAGAGAGAAATGAGGACTTGGTCAGTTTATTCAGATGTGCCCAACCTATTTCATAAACATGTTACTAAATAGTATTGTATGCTGAACTAAGATTTGTGCATCATTTTGCTTTTAACATAAAGGAGATTTATCTGACTGTTTCCCAGAGTGGGAAAAACACTGTCACTTAGAATTTTATGTTTATAAAAACTAAAGATAAAGCTTTACTTATTAAGAATTGAAATTGATTATGTAGAATTTAATTCGTTTTTTTACTTTTTTTTAAAAGAGTTTTGTTTTAGAATTTCACTTTGAACCCAATGAATATTTCACAAATGAAGTGTTGACAAAGACATACAGAATGAGGTCAGAACCAGATGATTCTGATCCCTTTTCTTTTGATGGACCAGAAATTATGGGTTGTACAGGGTGAGTTTAATTTTATTATATTAACAGAATGTTAAGTCTGTATTTGTAGTACTTATGATTTGTGGTATTGGTATTTCCATGTCTGTGTGTTAGATACATACATAAATAGTTTATCTCCAAATATTTGAGTAAAATATTATCTGAGAAATTAGCCATTTTCCTAGAATTCTTCTTGGAAAATGGCTAATATTATAGACATTTCTCCAAAGGAAGTGCACATTTAAATTTATTATATTGTGAGTTTATGGTGATTGTAAATATGTTTATTGAAAAAATTTGGTTAGAAATAAAATTTTTCTCTTTACACTGCTATAGAAAGCACTTGGACCAATTTTGCCCTCTAAAATTTGAAATTAAATATACTGTTTATTTGGGAAAGTCTTAGCAGTTGAAAGTAATGTGTTAATTGTGATAGGAGATTTTTCTTTTTCTCTTTGTTTGGAAGGTGCCAGATAGATTGGAAAAAAGGGAAGAATGTCACTTTGAAAACCATTAAAAAGAAGCAGAAACACAAGGGACGTGGGACAGTTCGTACTGTGACCAAAACAGTTTCTAATGACTCGTTCTTTAATTTTTTTGCCCCTCCTGAAGGTAAATAGTGTTTTAGTTTGCATATTGGTGGTTGTTTTATTATAAGCTTTTTTTAATTTTTTTTATTCATTTGAATTTCTCTTCTCAATTTTGCAGTTCCTGAGAGTGGAGATCTGGTAAGCTGAATTGTTATTTAATTGTTGAATTGTTTACTGTGTATGAAATTAAAGGACTGGTTCTCAAAAAGTGGGGAGTTGGGGTAGTTGCCACTAGGTTTGTAGTGCATGGGGAAGCTCTCGATGCATCTGAACAGTTCCATTCAAAATGCTCATAGTGCTTTCACTGAGAAATGCTGAAATGCTCAAGATTTTCTTTTCTTTTGAAACTTGGCAAATACTTTGAGGGATTCAAAGTTTTCAAGACTATAGTTTTCTTCCTTATTGAAACTAGAATGTATTTGTGAAAGCCTGAGTGAGATTCTATTATTCCACTTGGTGTTTTCCGTAACTAATATTTTAAAAGGAAAATGGCAGTTATGTAATTAAGTTGCTTTATTTATATTTTACTTTTAAGCCATAAAAAATAAACAATAACTAGTTCACTAATTTTTACTCCCCCAAATTTCTGAGTATATACACAGTTCTGCTAACTTTCTTTTTTTAAAAAACTGTAAATGACTGGTGGGTCATACCACATTTAAGTAAGTTTTCAAATGTCAGAAAGTTAAAAGTGAAGTTGAGAGTTACTTCATGATTTAAACCCAAGAGTGTTGCATGTGCTGAATTAAGTAACAAAGTTAAATTTTGTGCTTTTGTTTTTCTTAAATAGGATGATGACGCTGAAGCTATCCTTGCTGCAGACTTTGAAATTGGTCACTTTTTACGTGAGCGTATAATCCCAAGATCAGTGTTGTACTTTACTGGAGAAGCCATTGAAGATGATGATGATGATGTGAGTGGATCTGAATCCTGCAATAAAATCATTTAGTGAGTGTATGATAGTCAGAATTGGTGAGAGGTTTAATGAATTGATGTAATTTTTAGAAAGCACAGCAGAATAATGCTATCAGGATAATTCCTGATGTCCTGTAGATAAATTTTCTGAGTTGTTTTAAATAGATTTTCTTTGGGTTCATTTATTATAGTTTTTATTTTTCTGCTAATAGGAAGACTGCTCTGAATTAGTGAAACTTCACAATGTTTGGTTAGTAATGTAGATCTATTATGCTCTTGTCTTTGACCAAATAAAACATGCCAAGAACTTTTTTTAGTGCTTAACAATAGTAGGAAGCATAGAATTTTTATTCCAAGGAATATTAATTAAAGATTTAGGTAAAGTTAGGTTGCCCTCAAAGGTTTGGGTGTCTTTTATTGCTAAATGGCAATAATTCAGATAGACATTTTGTGCCTTGTGTTCCACACCTAAGTATAAGAAAGTAATATTTACAATAATAGCTGTTACGTCACATTTAATCATTCACTTTAGGGAAAATATTTTTCCTTTTTTTAGATACTAGTGGATACAATGATGGATGTAAATAATGCTGTTCTCAAAAGTTTATTCATCAAACTTGACCCTTTTTTCCTTTTTTTAGTATGATGAAGAAGGTGAAGAAGCGGATGAGGTAATGTTTACCAAATGAGCAAATAATACTGTTTAAAACATTGAGAAGCAAATTGAATGACTTATGTATTCCTTTGCTATAATCATTATTCTGTGATAATGCATAAAAACATTTTTGGAAAAATTATGATTTTAGAATCTACAGCCAAACAATGTATGTATAAGGTTTCAATAAATAAATTGTAAAACTCAGAACATTTTTTTTATTTCAAATAATTCTGTTCTGCTGCAGGGTTATCAGCTCTTTGAAGAAGTCAAAAGCTGCAGTAAACTTTTCCCACGTTGGCTGCAGTAAATCTTTTCAATAAAAGCTGTCTGGATGTCTCAAGTTGTGTTGGGAAATTTTTCATAATAGAAGCTTTCATATTAAATTGCATTGTCACCAAACTCTGTAATCATGAAATTCTATTGACCTATAGAGTAACTTGTTTTAAATTCTTCCTACATTATGAGCCATTTCTTGCCTACTATGTACCTACTTCATGGATGCATTTTGAACTTTAATATAGGAAGGGGAAGAAGAAGATGAGGAAAATGATCCAGACTATGACTCAAAGGTGAGTATAATTAGTGCTGTTTTCTATTAAATTTAAGGCAGGTTAAATAAAAGTTAATATCTTAATATAAAGTTTAATTTTATCCATAAAGTCTAGGCCATTAAAGATATATATATATATATATATATATATAAAATCCTCACTGGCATTTCAACAATACACATAATTTCAATGCATCTCTCCTAAGAAATTTATTTTAGGTTCTGACCTTATATTTTTAAATTCCAGGCTAAGTAAGCCCTAGTATTCTTTTTATTTTCACTTGTATTGATTTCAGAAAGGAAGGGAGAGGGAGAGAGAGAGAAACATCAATGATGAGAGAGTCATTGATCGGCTGCTTCCAGCACCGCCTACTGGGGATTGAGCTCCCAACCTAGGCATGTGCCCTGACCTGGAATCCAACTGTGACTTCCTGGTATATAGGTCAATGCTCAACCAGTGAGCCACACTGGCTGGGCTAGGATTCAATTTTAATGGCATACTATCATGTACATTTTTTTTTTTACATTTTTTTAGAAACATTTTAAATCACAGCTTGTGAAACATCAATGATGAGAGAGTCATTGATCGGCTGCTTCCAGCACCGCCTACTGGGGATTGAGCTCCCAACCTAGGCATGTGCCCTGACCTGGAATCCAACTGTGACTTCCTGGTCTATAGGTCAATGCTCAACCAGTGAGCCCCACTGGCTGGGCTAGGATTCAATTTTAATGGCATACTATCATGTACATTTTTTTTTTACATTTTTTTAGAAACATTTTAAATCACAGCTTGTGAAACATCAATGATGAGAGAGTCATTGATCGGCTGCTTCCAGCACCGCCTACTGGGGATTGAGCTCCCAACCTAGGCATGTGCCCTGACCTGGAATCCAACTGTGACTTCCTGGTCTATAGGTCAATGCTCAACCAGTGAGCCCCACTGGCTGGGCTAGGATTCAATTTTAATGGCATACTATCATGTACATTTTTTTTTTACATTTTTTTAGAAACATTTTAAATCACAGCTTGTGAAACATCAATGATGAGAGAGTCATTGATCGGCTGCTTCCAGCACCGCCTACTGGGGATTGAGCTCCCAACCTAGGCATGTGCCCTGACCTGGAATCCAACTGTGACTTCCTGGTCTATAGGTCAATGCTCAACCAGTGAGCCCCACTGGCTGGGCTAGGATTCAATTTTAATGGCATACTATCATGTACATTTTTTTTTTACATTTTTTTAGAAACATTTTAAATCACAGCTTGTGGTTTTAGGCTGTTTCCCCTCCAAAGGAAAGCTTATAAACAAAGGTCAGCTTTTAAACCATCTGAATGTAGGAGTACTTGAGAATTAGGGGAGCAGTACTGCTTGTTAGATTCTACCAACCACCTCCCTTCTCCATCTCAGTCCCAGAAATTTGTCATATCAGGGTTAGTAAAGGCCTTTATTTTCTTAAAAAATACATGGTACATTTTATCAGGATTCCTTTGAAACTGGTTTCTCTTTAATTCACTCATTTGCTAAATGCTACAAAATATCCAGAAGATACTTTAACGTACTGGGCAGGTAAGAGGAGATAGTTAAAAATCGAATTAAATATTCCAACACATATGACTTACTCCTAACAGCTAAATTATGAATGGAATTAGTATTTTTTGAGTAACTAATCTATAAAAAGGCAAAAATAATGGCTATTACAACTAACAAATTGCTTGGTTATTTAATTTTTCAAGATTATGGCTCTGTCTCATTTTCTGGAGTTCATTCAATAGTATAAAACTTGGATTTTATTTTAGCATTTTCATGATCTGCTAATGTTTGAATAATAATTTGCTATCATTGCTAATACCCCTTTTTTGATTTGCCAAATTTTTGACAGCGGTGAGATAATGTGATAAGGTCATTAATTACTAATGAAATATTAACTGAAGCTGGTAGAAAAAAATAGATTGACTTGTTGTTTTCCTTTAACAGAAGGATCAAAACCCAGCAGAGTGCAAGCAGCAGTGAAGCAGGATGTATGGCCTTGAGGATAACCTGCACTGTAATAGCCTAAATACAACTATTATTTACAGACTTATGTTTTTGTATTTTCTTGGTAGACTCAATAATTTTTTTAAAGGGAAGGAATTGATATTTTAAAGACAATTTTGTTCTACCTAGCATTTTAAATTGAGTTTTTCTGCCAGATATGTTGAATGCAGAAATTCTCTCACACATTTTCATTCATTGCTACATAGTTTGGTTCTTCTGGGGTATTTTTATCATGTAACTGTTAGATACAGCTATGAAAATAAACAAACTATTAAATGAAACAGATTTTTTTGTTTTCCTAATTTTTTTCCTGAAGAACCAAAGTATTTTTTCAGCTGGTAGTTAAGTGGATTTAAGTTTTGTCTTTCATTACTTTGTTATAGAGATGCAGTGCCTATACTGAAACAATTCATTTTAAAAACAAACTGGTCAAGACAATCTGTGGTTAAGAATTTCCAGTAAGACCACATCTATTAACTTTGATTGTTTAATGGATTTTTAATATTTTAGGTGACATAATTAACTATAAAGAACCCTAACTCAATTGTATGGTTATTGGTTAGTTACCATAGGGAGACAAATGAAACCTAGTATTTTCAGACATTAAGCTTTACTATTTTAACTGTACTTTTAAATTTAACCTCCATTAACTAAACATCTCTTCTTTGTGGTAGGGTCTACCTTCTGCTTCCCTGGAAAGGATGAATTTTCATCATTTGACAAGTTCATTTCAAGTTTTTTGTTGTTTCTTTGTTTGCTTGTTTGTAGCCTAAAATAAAAATGTCAAATATAATTTTAGTTCTCACAAGATAATGTCTTACAATTTTGTACTAATTCAGGCAGAAGTGAAGCCTTAGCTTGAATTAAGTATTGTGCCCAGTTTACTATTATATTGAAAAGGGTGCCAACTCTGGACGAGGTGTACTACATTTAATAAGAAAGTATAAAAAAAAGACAAAATGGTGTAATTTTTTTTAAAGAGTAAGTTAATTTTATTTCCTTTGGTTAGAATGAGAGAAGGCCTCAAGCCTCTGATGAATTCCAATTCTTACTGTTTAAAATATGAGTATGTTGTTTACCCATGCTTCTGTTTACTATGTATTAAAATGGGTAGTACTGTTTACTTAACTACCTCACATGTGTTAGACATATTAACTTAAATTATATATGAAATGTTTCTCAACCTATTGAAAGCTTAAAAATTTGGAACTTTTTGCACCACAAGTATGATATTCAGCCTTTTAGTCTACCACAGTTTGCTAAATAAACCAGAAAACAAAAGTTAAGTAGTTTACTCTGGATCTGGTCAGGCAGTGCTCTTTTAGTGGCTCCTTATTTAATAGAAGTGGATGGATAACCAACTATTTCAAAGGTCCAAGGATCGTTTTTAGGTATTTTTGTTATGACCATAGAGATCATGGTTCTAAAATAGAAGTAAGACCGTTTTTAAGGGGGTTGGGGGAATCCCATTAAATTTGATACTGTAGAGCCACATTTAAAATACCTCAGGCTAATTACTGTTGATTTTTTCTGGTGAACTTAAAGTTTTGGCAGTGAGGGTGGACTAATTAGATTGTAATTGGAAAACAGCTTAGAGTTTCTGCTTGTAATAAAATAACATTAGGTTCATTTTTAGAAATGATAGAGCTTCCATTTTGAAAATTTAGTATTATGGTCTTAGAATGTGAATGAATACATTTTGTTATTTGTATAGTACTATCTTTTTCACTCCTGAGATTTTAATTAACTGCTGGAAATCCTTAACCAATTGCAATAGTTTATGGGGGGGGAGGGGGGGCCATGAAAACACCTGATGTTTTTCCTCTTCATTTTCAAAATGATTTTGGTTGCTTTGATTAGACCTTCTGTGCTAATGTTTTTTTGTACCTATAGCTCATTTGAACACATCTGAACTTTAAAAATGTTAACCTAAAGATAGGTTCTCATTTTTATATGAACTTTTAAGTAGCAAAACCACTATATTCTTTTTTTTCATTAGGAAATAGCTATTGCCAAAGTGAGGGAGAAGATACTATTTCATCTTGTTATATAAGGGCAATGTGATTTGCAGAGGAATTGCTCTCTATTAATAAAGTTGGGGTTTCAAGGGATATCAGTGTTCATCTCTGCCATCTTTCCAGTTCCAAAAGGTTCTATTCCATTCAAGAAATTTGAGATATGTAATTGGAAGACCTTAATAAAATTTGCATTTAATTTTATAAAATGTACTGGTGATGTTTTGGGTGGTTTTTAAATAAAAATACTACCTTTTTGTAAGAACAGAGTAGAGATGTTTAGAGTTGGCTATTCTGTGCTTAGACCATGATGGTCTGTAAATTTGATTACTTTTAAATTATGAGCAACCTCCCAAGCCCTGCTGAGTGGAGTTTCTATTGGAAGACTAAAAGGGACTTGCACAGTTCTACAGATTTTACTGAGTTAACTGTAGACATTTTTGAGATGACTTCAAGCTTTTAGTTATTAGTTTCTCTAGCCCAGGCATTGGCTGCCAAGTTCTCATTCCCCCCACCACCGCTGCCCCCCCCCCTCAATATAGTAAATGGTAAAATCCAATCTGATCACCTAAAAAGTAATACTTTGAAAATATTTGACATTTTACAGTCATTCAAATTGGTAAGCAGAGAACAATTCCATAAACCAATTACTAGTAGTTTTTATTTTAACATGGATGTCTGAAAGTTAAATGTATGGAATTTCTCAGAATTCTTTTATCTAATTCATTGAAGAGTATGGTGACAAAAATATCTTAATTGTGTGGAATTGGCTTAGAATAGTACTTAAGGAAAACGGGCTTCTGTTTCCTTTTTTAGCTCATTTAATAAATACACCTGAAAAGGAGACATTAGCTTTGATAGAAATACTTTCGTTATTTTTTAATAGGTTAATGAGATTGATTTGGTATATACGTCCTCTAAGATAATTGAATTAACTATGTTACTACTGCTTTTCAGACTGAATTTGTGGGTTTATCCGAGTTCTAGACAATTCCCATTATTAAAAATATAAAACTTTTGAATTGTGAAAGCATCAGACCATGCAGAAATATTAAGCTAATATTAAAATATTATTTAAATATTTGATTTCAGGGCATGGTTTAGCATTTGAGTCCATTTTTATGGGATGATCTTATAAAAATTGTAGCATTTATATTTTTAACTGTTTAAACCAGATGTTATTTTAAATGTACAGAATAAACGATTGGCTTAGAGGAAGCATACATTCTTTATAGGAGCCTTTGAAAAGAAAAAGCATGCGAATTTAGTATAGGTGTGTGTGTTTTTTTAATCTTCACTGTATATTGGTAATTATAAACCGTTTTGTTTTGAAAATATTCATAATTTAGGTAATTTGCTACTTAAAACACTCTAATAGCTGAAAATTAAATGGTGAAATTAACAGATTAATTTTTAGCTGTGTAGTGATGATTTTTTGTATGCTGGTTTAAAAATCCAGTTATTAAACAGTAAATTGGATAAAATTTAACCAAGTTCTTGGACTGATTAAGAACTTCAGAGAAATGGAAACATCTTTGTTGGAGTGTGAAATTATTGAAGGATAAGTGTTTATCCATGAGAAATTTTTATTGTATTTAGTTGATTACATTTTCAAAAAATACAGCATTCTTTGTATCTTGTGTTTAAGTATAAAATGAGAAACAGAGCCTAACAATTTAGAAATAATAAATTGTCAGCAGGAAATAAGTCCTTAATGCAGTTGTTTAATTTTAAAACTTGGGGTGAAATGTTGCTTAAAAATCAAAGCAGTGCTTTTATATCTTCATGTATTTTAAACTTAAAAGCAAGAACTGGGGACAAGTGATTAAAAATAAAAGGACCAGAAGTTGGCAGATCGCAGCAAGAGTTGATAGTAATATTCATAATTTTTCATAATGAAATTAGGCAGTTGTAGCTCAGCTTTTCATGGAGTGGTAAAATAGTTACTTTTGTGGGGTTTTTTGGTTAATCCTCACCTGAGGATGTTTTTCCATTGATTTTTAGAGATCGTGGAAGGGAGGAGGGGAAGACAGAGCTAGAAACATCTATTGGTTGCCTCCCACATGAGGCCCCTCTGGGGTTGTACAAATTGAACTGGCTAGGGTGAAAATTGTTACTTTTTAAAGTGTTTAAAACACTGGAAACTACCTTAATATTTCAAAAGTGAAATCTTCCAAGAATTTTTAAACTAAGATAAAGACATTTATGCTAGTGGCCTCAAGGCTAATTAGAGGCTGCTCTGTCAAAAGCAGGGCAAATTTCCTTTTATCTGCAATGAAGTAAAATACCAGGATTTTGGCAGAAGGGGGTGCTTATCAATATTTCTTTTTTTCTAACAGTTGAAAGAATTTCTATATGTTCTTTAATCATCACCATTTATTGATTGTGCTACATAAATTTATATTGTGTATGCATTTTTTTTTAACTTTTACAAAGTTGCAGACGTGCCCTTTCACCCTCTAAATGCAGCGGTTGCTCATTATTAGAGACATTCTTAGAGAATCACAGAACAATTAAAAATCAGGAGAACTTACTATGCAATCACAGTTCATTTTGATGCTTAAATCATCCCAGATTTGACCAGTAGTATTTCCAAGCTGGTTCCTCTGCACGTTTGGTATGTTTTGCATCAATTGAACACTTAATATACTTCAGTTCAAAAAAGACTGGGGGCTTCTCTTAGACTTTTTCTGTCCCAGCCCTGAAATTGGGTATTTCTCTAAGGGTTTCTGGAACCTTTTAAGGGGAATGGTATTTAGAATCCAAGTCTGGGTGCTGAGTGTGCTTATTTCTGGGATGTCCTCATTTCAATAGACTTAGGAAACATCAGAAACTAACACACTGGATACTTCAAAGTTAGTGGAACACAATGGGATTCCTAACCTTGCCCAAGTCCATATTTATAACTACCTTCATGAGTAAAAAAATAACAAATCTAATTTTAAGACTAACCCTGTAGGCCCTAAACAAATGATTGACATATTTAATGGACATTGCAATAAAATAGTTCTTACATTGCAAAGTAGATTGGTTAAACAGCCTTTAGAGTCCATTTATGTTTATTCAGGCTGGGTTTTTTTAAAAATATATATTTTTATTGATTTCAGAGAGGAAAGGAGAGGGAGAGATAAAAATATCAATGATGAGAGAATCATTGATTGGGTGCCTCCTGCACGCCCCCTACTGGGGATCGAGCCTGCAACCTGGGCATGTGCCCTTGACAGTAATAGAACCTGGGACCGTTCAGTCCGCAGGCCAAAGCTCTATCCACTGAACCAAACCAGCTAGGGCCAGGCTCTGTTTTAATAAGTTGTGAAAGATTTGTTAGCACTGAGGACATACTAGTACTTGCAGAATGCTTAGAACATGCATAATGAGTTTTTAATAAGGTGTGCATTCTAACAAAATCTTGAGATAGTGATTAAGATCAATCTTTAAATTGGTGTTAGCCTTTAATTTCAGAAGTAGTTGGAAGAGGCCTGTTTCTTTTGTTCTAAAGGTAAAATCACTCCTGGCTAAGAGGTGCCCTGTTTGATGTACAGTTTTAGACTGCATAATAAACATTTTGAAGATTTTCATGTAGAATTTGAAGAAAATTTGCCACACTTAAAGTCAGTTTAAGGATCTAATTTTAAAAAAATGCATGTTGCCCTATTCGGTTTGGCTTAGTGGATAGAGGCCTGCTCACTGAAGGGTCCCAGGTTCGATTCTGATTAAGGGCACATGCCTGGGTTGCAGACTTGATCCCAATAGGGGGCGTGCAGGAAGAGGCAACCAATCAATGATTCTCATTGATATTTCTATTGCCCTCTCCTCTCTGAATTAAAAAATGTTTTCGTATGCTGATTTATTTTGTCTTTGGCTGGGTCCTGAAGTGATTTAGGGTAAAACTAAGAAGTCATAATTTGTCAGCCTGTCCTGTACATCCCTACCTGGACCCCTGGATATGGACTATGAGAGGTGTCTGTTGAGATCCGATGTGATTTTCAGCTTGGATCAGGCTAGTCAATACATAAGTGTTCCAAAACAATACAGGCTGGATTTCTTTGCTGTTCAGTTGCCTTGGTGAGTAGACCTAGAACCTTTAGAACAGCAGTTCTCAATCTGTGGGTCGCGACCCCTTTGGGGGTCAAACGACCCTTTCACAGGGGTTGCCTAAGACCTTCAGAAAACATATAATTACATTGTTTTTGTGATTGATCACTATGCTTTATGTTCAATTTGCAACAAAATACATCCTGCACATCAGATATTTACATTACGATTCATAACAGTAGCAAAATTACAGTTATGAAGTAGCAACAAAAATAATTTTATGGTTGGGGGGGTCACCACAACATGAGGGACTGTATTAAAGGGTTGTGGCATTAGGGAGGTTGAGAACCACTGCTTTAGAGCAACTTGGGCAGCAGCAACCCAACCTACCTTGCCTGCATTTGCAATTTCAGCTCTGCTTGGCTGTCTTTTCATTCACTTTCTGCAACTGATCTTTGTGTATATGTTTTATTAGTTCAACATGATCACCTTTTTATTTACTCTTCAGTTCTGAACTGGTTCTATTAGTTCAAGAAGTACTCTAGGGATACTTGCTCACCATTGGGTGTCCTAGTTTCTAATATTGGACTTTGAAGATGGTAAGTATATAGCAAATTTTTGTATGTACATTACTCAGGGTTTATCTGCACTCCCTCCAGTGTACCAACCATCCTATATAATAAAAGCCTAATATGCTAAGTGTCCAAACGTTCAACCAGTTGCTATGATGCGCACTGATCACCAGGAGGCAGATGCTCTGACCAGTAGGTTAGATTGCTGCTGGGTTCTGGCTGGCCGATTGGGGCTGGGTAAGATGGGCTGGACATGCCCTGGAGCCCTCCCGCGGTCCTTCCCCAGTCCCAATTGTGCACTGGTGGGGTCCCTTGAGGGATGTTGGAGAGCTGGTTTCAGCTGATCCCCTCAGGCCAGGCCGAGGGAACCCACCAGTGCACAATCCATGCACTGGGCCTCTAGTAATACTATATGGGGCCATGTAGCAAGTTAAATCAATTCTCATTATTTCAATTTATGTCAACCAAGATACTCCAAGATCCTTTGTAGTTGTCACATTCCTACAGAGTCGCTTTTGAGGAAACCAATAAAACAGCTGGATTGTGAATATTGTTCATAAACTCAGTGGGACTATTACAGTGTGGACAGTGTATCAACAGTT